GCACTAAAGTAGCCTAGTTATCATTTCCCACATTTTTCTGAGCATCTAACATGGCATACACTGTAGTGCTGAGCAGCTTCAGAGAAGAGACACTTTAATCGCACAGACTCTCACCAGCCACCCAATGAGCCAGTTCCTCATTTGACTGTTTCCCTGGATAGTTGGATACAGCTTGGCAAGGTGAGCTAACTGTTGGCAAGTTGAAGGTTAGCAGGTGAGATGGAGCTAGGGTGAGTAAGTACCTACCTATAACTGAGTGCTACTGCTATGCAGGTCTTGGGTAGGTTGCAAATATGTGTGATGAATGATGATTGAGGTTAGGTCAGGTTAGTCAGGTATGCTCAGCCCTCAGGTCACATTTTTATGGACACTAGGCAATTTAAAAACTACAACCTAATTTAAGAGCACCCAACTAACCACAACTACTAGCTATATGACTAAGTACCTACGTACTTGTGCCTACATCTCATACCAAGTCAAAATAAACTATTAAGTTCCTTGCTGGAAGATTACCCTCAGTACTTTTTATCCCAGTCCTGTGAAGAAAATTAATACTTCTATGTTCTGAGTCATTTCTGGCCATCCACAGAAAGAAATGCTGACAGCTTTGCTATTGTATATTGGACCAACAATCACTCATGACTATGAACACATCATATGATCACATCGTTGCATGGATTGTATTTGTCACTTTGACAATTCTTCTAAAATCCTTTTTAAAAAAAATGCAAAGTAATTATGAACATCACATTTAACATTAAGCTGATTTAGTGATCCAAGCGGCAAGCTGACTCCTCCAGTAGCAATGGAATGATTGTGTGTTTCATTTGTCAGACACTGAGTAATGCACATTACGACATTACCATTCTGCAAAGTAAAGCTGCCCGAGTTCATTCATTCTAGATTTTTTTCACTTGATAGTTAGCACAAATTAATCTTGCTGTTGTAAGTTATAATTCAATATTCACACCAATACATAAATATGCGTTCATCAGCCAGCATTTTCTGGCTTGGTATTGCTCAGCGGGCTCTTCATGATCTCCTGCAATAGTATACTTGTTTTTGTCCAATAAGCTCTTTTAATTTTACTTTTTCTTGCTGATAAGTGAGCCAGACCAACTTGCGTTTATCAACCAACATGTCCTAAATTCAACTTGATATCAATATTGCTCAGGGCTCAGGAGTCAGGACCCTGGAGCCTTAGCCTCCTGGATACTTGGAATTGTTTTCAGTCAACATGTTTCTTAAATATGATATAATTCAATCACAAGGGATCCGAAACTTCCAACAAAACGACGTACACGAGTACGAAAACACCAGATGAACTTGAAACAGGCCTTGGAACAGAGCCAAGCGGTGCTCCATTTTGATTTGTTTGTTTACAATAATTGTAGTGCTGATGTATTGTTTTATGACTCTAGCGGTCGGCTTATAAAAATGAAACAATTTAACCAAATCTATAAGGCAAGTAATATTTTTCTGAGAGAACTAAAATATTTAAAAGCTAAACACTATGAAATACAGGAATCGGAACGAAAAAGTAGCCTAAAAATCCAGCCGAATCACCGGCTCCTAAAACTGCGACAAAATCAGCACTTTTCCCCGCAACCAGCGGCGTATTTACAAATTGCAACCGAGCTCCGCCGTGGGGTAAGGTGGGCAGGGGTTTTTGCACTACGGCTGCGGTTGAACTACCGTCTGTGGTAGAAACTTCAGGATGATGGCGCGTTTCATACGAAATCTGGCGCAATGTTTGTTTGCTTCTGAACTTGTATTCAGGGTTACCAAAGCTTGGGATTTGTCCCAAGATCTTGGGATATTGAACCCGACCTTGGGACCTTGGGATTCAACAGCAAACCTTGGGATTTGTCCCGAGCTTACGACTCCCGCTAATTTAAGCACATTTTTTTAATCATTGGAAAAAGGAAAAGTATTAATAAAGACCAAACAAAGGAATCAGGAACACATCTAACACAACTTAATTGTTTGTTTTTTTGTAAACCGTCCTTTTTGGACGAACACAACCGAGCGTTCTTTCGTTTGGTTTCACTGTACCTTACCAAGCAACCAATGAAGCACGAATAAGTTATCCTTATTTGACGCGTCTTCACTTTGTTTCTCCCGTCTCAGCTCTCAAGTGAGGCATTTAGCGAAATACCCAGTGGCTTCCGCGTCGATTACAGGGGCGGATCCAGGAAAACTCCAAGGGGAGGGTCATGAATCGAAGTGGTGCCCCTACCTATACCCAAAATTAAAAACTCAACGGATTTCGTCCACTTCATTTTGGTGGTGCCCCCATTTTCAGTTTTTTTCTTTTTATTTTTTATTTTTAGTCAGTATCTTAACTCTTAGCAACAACCACATTTACCAATTGTAACTTGTAAGCAAGTATATATGAATGTGCTATGTGTATATATGTTGTGGACGCTGAGTAGTGAGTACTTACCAGGAACGTTATCAGGTAAGCAAATCGTTGTCAGTCCGACGAACTTGACCCTGGCGTCTAAAGCGTCTGTCCTCGACACTTCAGGCTTGTCAGGGGCACCAAAGTCCTTCCAGGTACACCACAAACCTGTCAGGGGCACCTACGGCCTTGTAGGGGCGCCACAGGCCCGCCAGGGGCACCACAGGCCTGCCAGGAAGCAGGGGCACCACAGGTCTAGCAAGTATACACGACAGGCCTGTCAGGGGCACAACGGGCCTGTTGGGCCCATGAGCACCCCTAGGGGCAGGGGCACCACAGTCCTTCCAGGGGCACCGCAGGCCTGTGAGGGGCACCAGCGGCCTAGCAGGGGCACCAATCAACACAGGCCTGCCAGGGGCACCACAGACCTGCCAGGGGCACCAGAGGCCTGCCAGGAGCACCACCGACCTCGCAGGGGTAACTTGGGCCTGTCAGGGCCCAGGGGCACCACGGGCCTGTCGAGAGGCACTTCAGGCTTTTCAGGGGCACCATAGTCCTCTCCGGACGCAGGGGTAGCAGGGGCACCAGAGGCCTGCCAGGGGCACTACAGGCCTAGCAAGGGCACCACTGGTCTATCAGGGGCACCACGAGCCTGTCACAGCCAGGCATCTCAGGCTTGTCAGGGCCCAGGGGCACCACAGGTCTGTGAGGGGCACAAGCGACCTAGCAGGGGCACCAGTCAACACAGGTCTGCCAGGGGCGCCACAGACCTGCCAGGGGCACCAGAGGTCTGCCAGGGGCACCACCGGCCTCGCAGGGGCACCTTGGGCCTGTCAGGGGCACCACGGGCCTGCCGAGGGGCACTTCAGACTTTTCAGGGGCAACAGTCCTCTCCGGGCGCAGGGGTACCAGCGGCCTAGCAAGGGCACCAGAGGCCTGCCAGGGGCACCAGCGGCCTAGCAAGGGCACCAGAGGCCTGTCAGGGGCACCACAGGCCTAACAAGGGCACCACGGGCCTGTCAGGGGCACCTCAGGCTTGTCAGGGCCCAGGGGCACCACAGTCCTTCCAGGGGCATTACAAGCCTGTCAGGGGCACCAGAGGCCTAGCAAGGGCACCACAGGCCTGCCATGGATACCACAGGCCTGCCAGGGGCACCACCGGCCTTGCAGGGGCGCCTCAGGCCTGTCAGGGGCACCACGTGCCTGCCGGGGACACTTCAGGCTTGTCAGGGGCGTTACAGTCCTGTCAGGGCCCAGGGGCACCAGGCCCGTGGTGTCCCTGCTAGGCCTGTGGTGCCCCTGGCGGTCCTGTGGTGCCCCTGTCAGGACTGTGATACCCCTGATAGGCCGGTGGTGCCCCTGGCGGGTCTTTGGGCCCCCGGGCCTCAAGGGGGGGGGGCATGACCCATGTGACCCCCCCCCCTTGGATCCGCCCCTGGTCGATTAACACCCGGCCTGGCCGCCTGTTTGCGAATTGTGACGCCCGACGGATCGGAGGCGGATCCAGCTCAGAGTTTTGGGGGGCAAACCATAAAATTTATCGATTTTTTCCATGCATCGTCCATAGGCGTAATGTTAAAATTATGCCGTTTGGGGGGGGCAAATGCCCATTTTGCCCCCCCCCCTTTGATCCGCCACTGCGACGGATCATGCTTCAACTCGTAAAACCCAGACAGACAGGGGCGTCGACACCAGTCCGACTTTTCCGAATAGTCGGACCACTTTTTCGACTAGGCGGTGCCCTGCTGTGGCTCGCGGGGGCCCCTGCTGCAGACCGCGGGGGCCCCTGCTGCAGACCGCGGGGGCCCTACTGCGGCTCGGGGGGCCCTGCTAGAGACCGCGGGGGCCCTGCTGCGCCTCTGGGGCCCTGCTAGACACCGCGGGGCCCTGCTGCGGCCCGCGGGGTCCCCTTCTGCGGCCGCGGGGGGCCCCTGTTGGGGCTCTCGGGGGCCCTGCTGCGGCCACGGGGGCCCCTGGGGGCCCCCACCGGTGGGGGCCCCCCGAGAAAAAGTCGGACCAGTTTTCCTTACGCGTCGACGCCCCTGCAGACAGATAACTTGCTGTGTCTCTGTACCTATGCCTGCGTGTGTAACTGTGCCGAATGCAAGTTATGTTAACGATATTGATTTATTTAGTCAACCAAAGATTTGAAAATACGTCAAATACACTTTATTTGCTCTATATTTGGTTTCTATAGACCTTGGGATGCACACTGGGCTTTGATCCTGTCGACCTTGGGATATGGAGCTCGATTTTGGGAAATTCGCGCGGCGATCTTGGGATTTAGAAAAATTCCCGTTGGTAACCCTGCTTGTATTGTTATACGCAACCGAAGTCGTGACGTCACGATAAGTGGCTGGGGCATAATCAGCTGACGGCCCCGTGTTAAAGCAATGGGGCAATACTTTGCCGATCTTTCCTAAAAAAAACTGGACCTAGTTAGATAGTTTTAGTAGCTGGATTTAGGACAACGATGTATGGTCTATTTTTCTATGGAAAAATATTGCAAAATCTAATATCGCAAAGCACAAAATTTGGTGAAAACCTAATTTGCGGCGAAGTTGACGCAGAAATACAAAACATTTCCAATCAAGAGGTTTAAAATCATAGATAAAAAATAAAAAAGATTTACGAAATAACTAATATGGTAAATTTTCTCCTTTGCTTTTTACAAATAAAAAATATTAAATCAGCTCAAACTCAAATATGTCAAACCTTTCGCACCAAAATCCTACAACGTGGTCGCAGTTCGCGTCTTCAAGGTCATGTATTTGGTGCGTCAAGTTCGCCGCCCGTAACAAATTCGCGAAGTTCGGCCCTTTCCGCTTTAAAACATAGCATTTTTTAGGCGTAGAAAAATAGAATATACTCAGTTTACTTAGAAACTGGCCCCCAAACTATCTAACTAGGTCCAGTGTTTTCTAAAAATACCGATAAAATTTCGTCCCATTGCTTTAACACAGGGCCGTCAGCTGATTATGCCCCAGCCACTAGTCATGACGTCACACTTCGGTTGCGTATTGCTGTGAGCTCTTGAAGAGGGAGTGTTTCAATAACAATTTGTGGATTATTTGAGTTTCTTGATATAAAAATCGAATAATATTATGAATCATTGTGTGGAAACTGCAAATACTGATATAATCAATTGCTTAGTTTGGGAATTGATACACATTTTGTAGAGGTTTGTCTGGCAAATGGTGTAACAAACTGAACCTTCAAGCCTATCATGATCTGAAGCTGCTGTAACAAATCAAAATTGCTTTGATGTTCCATAGTACCTTGTTGGAAAGATTGGAGCATGGTTCAAGATGATGTGTAAAAATTCAAGATTTGTGCAAAAGCTTATGACTGAAGAGCGAAAACAGTTCAATATTATGATGGCTCAATCATCAAACTTGGAAATGGACGACAAAAGTGGAGTTTCAACATTCCAGCATGTGAGAATAACTTCAGAACTTCATAGTTGTTGTCAGGGTGGGAATTCTCTTTTTTTTTCTTGGTGTCTGAGTACAAATTTTCGGGGAAGTGAGTACAAAATTTCATGATGCAGTCACGGCATATCAAATATTAAAAGTGATGATTCAAAGTGATGTACCTAAGTATGATAAAAAAGGACAAATTCAGCACTGCAAACACTACTGACAACACTACTGAGAATTTGCCCATAAAAGACAAGTTGGTCAGCTGGATGAACATGATAGCGAAAACAAGGTATTTGATTAATAATAAAAATAGATATTCCTCAGTAGGCAGCAGTCAATCGTCCGCAAGTGAGCGAGCAGCGAGCACTCAGCAGGTGCCGAAGCCTCACGTGAATCAATTCAGAACAAGTTGCTCTTTGTTACACACACACACACAAAGAATACATTTCTGATCGTCGACGTTTCGCACGTAGCACTGCACCTACCGGCAATTACGTGCAGTGGTTGATTGATTTCACACGACCAATACGCCTTACGTGCCCGCGCCTCACACCAACACCACGCGCCTGCCTTTTGAAGAGCACTTTGCCTGTAGTTCCACCGCCTTCACTGAACAGCGGCCAATGCGCCATTGAGGAGCATGAGGGGTATGGGTTCTCTTTCACTGCGCGCTAGTAGCGCTCACTAACATAAAAAGCGCTTTCGGTTTCCATGGAAACTTGATAAACTTGTTTAGCTTTAATCACCGAACGCTTGACAGCCTTTGCCTCTCTTTCAGAAAAGAACATGGCATTGACTTCGGGCGACATCTATACTATTCCTCACGAGACTGCCGACCAGCGCCATCTAGCCAGGAAAACAAGAGAAGAGACTGAGAGCCACGAATGCGGACTTCTGACCAAGACGACCCTTTATAACATTTAATCCAGCTAATCAACGAACGCCGAGTTTTCGTAATACTCTATGGTTGATTTATGTAACTATGGCCGACATAAGATAGCTGCCGTCCAGTCGCGAGGCAGCGCTGCGCCAGTGCTCACGATCGCGTCGTACCCTGATGGATCCGTGTTTCAATCATTGCTTCTTTGCGTTGCTTCTGCTGGTATATATTGCGAATAATAATATATACTGAGACACGAACTCTTTTTTATCTTTATTAGCAAAAAAGGTCGCCATCGGGCAGCCAGCCACAGTGTACCTACTACAAAAACGGTCGCCGTCGGGCAGCTAAGCTCAATAAAAGCTGAAACAGACTCTTTCCGCAGTCAGGAAATCGCACGCGAGAGCCTATTCAAATGCATTAAAATCCTTCCCGCATCATTCGTATGCGGGAGGTGCGTACGATTGATGCGAGCGTGATTTAATGCATTTGAATAGGATCTCGCATGCGATTTCCTGACTGCGGAGAGTCTGTTTCAACCTTTACACCATAAAAAACAGCCACCGCCGGCTCACAAAGTCGCACAACACTACACAAACGGTCGTCACCGGGCGGTCAGCCATCAGCTGAACGAAAGGTCCCATCATAAATGCCACTGAGAATAAGAAGCCATGATGATGATGATGATGATGATGACGGCGATGGTTTGAGGTTTTTGGGCGTCCGGACTGCAGTGGTCATCGGCGCCCATAACACGACATTAGAAGATCACGTTATGATTATAAAAAAGAAAACGCAGGAGAAACTACTTAGATCCCAAATTAATACGCCTGAGCAGAAATATGTTTACCTACGCTCCTGGAGAAAATATGACGAACATCAACTACTCATCACAGCCTTCGCCTCATATGATTTGTACTTGTCATAAGGAACCAAGGACTAGCATGAAGACCATCTGTTCTAGAAGGTATCCCTGATAGTGATGTCAGTTACAGAAAATCTGAATACCGATACCAAACCAAATACCAACCAAAACCGTAGGAAAATACTGAGACCGAACCAACTAGGAAATATGATGGAAATACAACCTTTTAACCAAATTCACAGCCCCTTTCACATTAGCGAGGATCCATGATACAAACAAAAATACCAAACACATTTGGATTGAAATACCAAATACCAAGTCGGTATCGGTTGGTATCGTTATACCAAAAAATTGGTATCTGATTGACATCTCTAATCCCTGATATCAGCAGAATGGACCATATCTGGACTACATAAAGCTAGAGAAAGATTAAATAAACATAAAGCTAAACACTTGACACGTGGCTACAGGCCAGCACTGCGCTGGCCTACTCGCTGGTGAGGCACAGCCTCACCAGCTCGCGCCTGATGGCGCTGTATGCTGACGGCGTCAGGTGGACGCCGTCATCATCATACAACGCCGAGACCGGTGGAGCGGCGTTGGCGTCCGGCGGCGGCGGGCGTCCGGGAACCCACCCCGTGGCCCAGGCGACGTCCGGGACCGGCGCGCGCTGGGCCTCGGCGAGGGCAGCTCGGCACGCTGCCACCTCCCTCGCCGCCCTCTCCGCCTCCTCCAGGACCTCGGTGGCGACGGACGCCACGGCCCGCGAGGCCGTGAGTAGCCGGTTGGGTAGCAGGCCCTCCTCAGCCTCCTGGTGTAGATGACAGAACAGGGTTGGTTTTTAACTTGCAGAATACAGAAACTTTATGCACTCATGGAAAAGTCAAAAGCAATATCCCACTACGTTAATTTGCGGCCCACCGCCCACATAAACAGTGCTAAATCAAAACTTAAATATGTTATGGTAAGTGGAAAATATTGAACATTGTCAGCAAGCTTACTGATAAGTACGACAAGCACATACATTTCATGGCATACATACATTTACATAAATTACATTTCATACATACATAAATACATTTCATGCATACATTTCATACATTTCATCTATTCCGGTTTTTTTTTCAAATTTGTGTGACATTGCACTGCACATATTCGGTACATTATATTCCTTTCTTTTTTAATTCACAATGCATAAATGACTGAGACTTCATCACTTCTTCGACACTCACCAGCTGTAGGTGGCCTATGGCGGCTTGGAGGGCCGCTCGGCTGGTGCCGCGCCCCGGGGCCGTGTCGTCGGTGGCGGGGCGGGAGGAGGCGTGGCCGGGCGTGACACCCTGGAGCACGGCCGGGTCCGGGGTGGCGGTGGCGGAGCTTGGAGCCATGCCGGCGACATCCCGGCGCAGGACCGCCTCGACGTCCAGGAAGGCTGCCCCGCGCTGCCTGGCGACCTGCCAGAGGGTCAGGCTGAGGCCCCGGAACATGTCCAGGGCCTCCGCCGACAGGTCCCTCTCCGGCAGGACGCTTAGGATGACGGCGCGGGTGCCTGGGATCACCAGCTCCAGGGTGCTGAGCCAGTGCTCCATGCCGGAGACGACGCGAGCGGCGGCCCCGGCGGCGTCCTCGAGCAGAGGCACTGGTGCTCCCTGGACGCGGTCACCCCGCCTCGGGACGAGGGCCGGCCCGCCAACGCAGATGACTGCGAAGGAGGGCCAGACCCCGTCCAGAGCATGGGTGGCGGCGTCCAGACGACGCCAGTCCTCGCTGGAGCCGCCACCGAGGCCACCGATCGTGCCGCCGTCCGGCCGCACCCACTTGACGTCGAGACGGTGCCGCCCGATGTGCCGGGAAGCGTCCTCGGCGATCGGGTGCACGAAGGCGCGGATGGCGTGTGAGTTACCAAACACGGCCACCCGCACCTCCGCGCACAGCGCCGGCTGCCGTGTTGGCCGGTGGCCTCCGCGCCGGCTCCGGTAGGGCTCTCTGCCGGTACGCAGAACCAGCGACCGATCCCGAGGCCGCCCCCCGTCCTGGAAACGTCAAAACAAGACACAAAGGTTGAAACCTCTGGAAAATAATCAGTTAGAAACACGTCGAGGAATATCGGGTCTGGTGTTAAGGTTCATGCTACATTGGGATGAGGGAATCGATAATCATACCATAGCACATGGTTAAGGTTTTACTCAGTATTCTTCGCCAAGTGCAGTAGAGTCAGTCATAGATCATACTTATCGCATTTGTTATTTTTTAGCCGTTGAAGGGGAGATGTCGGCGGATTGAGGCACATCAAAAACGTTTCCTCACATGTTTCCATCTCTCAGCGTGGCGGGCAAAATCAGCCACCCCAGGCAGCGGCGCGAGGAGCCGGATGGAATGATACATGAATGTACCTATCAAGGGCGATGAAAGCGGTATATCTGTGGAGGTTGCTCCAAGAGATACATTCATGTACCACGCTGCCCGCACTAGACGCAGCTTATTCTTATTCCGTAGAGAAATTATTGATGCCCATTTGCTGCACCGTTACTAAAAAAAAAAAATTAACGCAAAAGCTACGTCTAGAGCCCGTCCAAAAGACGGACAATACGAATGAACAATGACCAATGCAGTGAACAAGGGTAACACATTACGCCACACACATTCACACGAACAGGCAGACATGCTGAAAGTGACACAGCATCATGACCCTAACAAGTGAAGTACAGTAACGCACCTGCATGCATCACTCACATGCCCTCCTCCAATCTGCCACCGCCCTTTCCAGCATACAACACCAGCATGTACACAACACACACACAAACAAGACACACACACGAGTATGACAATGCACATCTTATTCGGATGTATTCTACGCCCGCAAGACGATAATACGTCATGGGTATTGTAGATACTGAAACTGTCATGATTATTCACGTCTGATCCAGACGTAGTCTACGCCCGCAAGACGATTATACGTCATGGGTATTGTGGAACTGGATACTGAAGCTGTTATGATTATTCACGTCCGATCCCGATGTATTCTACGCCCGCCAGACGATTATACGTCATGGGTATTGTAGACACTGAAGCTGTCATGATTATTCACGTCTGATCCAGACGTAGTCTACGCCCGCCAGACGATTATACGTCATGGGTATTGTAGACACTGAAGCTGTCATGATTATTCACGTCTGATCCAGACGTAGTCTACGCCCGCCAGACGATTATACGTCATGGGTATTGTAGACACTGAAGCTGTCATTATTATTCACGTCTGATCCCGATGTATTCTACACCCGCCAGACGATAATACGTCATGGGTATTGTAGAAAAATGCAGTCGTAAGTACTAACGTCCGATCCGGATGTAGTTACTTGACAGTAACGGCCATTTCTGCTGACTCGGATCCCGAATGACAAATACCGGTAATATGTCACTGCTAGGAGGTATGTTTGCACTTCCTGTCAGCGCCAAGACTGCATCATACGATAGATTAGGATGCATGCGTTATAAGAAAGTAGTTCCTTAACTGTTTCTTGATTAACATTGCTCACTTTTTCGTCATCACATTTGAAAAAAAACTCGCCTCTTCTTATCAGGCATTGGTAATGTCCATGCTCCCTCGTTCCCCAATGTAATATGGCACCTACCAAATGATAAGCTTTATTTCCGCCTGGTATACGAAGTCCCTCTAGAGGACAATCAAGTGCAATTTTTTGACGCCTGTCATAATCCGGACGTTGCATATTCAGTACCATGACTTCAGGCTCACAAGAGATGGATGTCGTGTGTGCCCCTCCACGCCCAGAACATTCATCGTTGCCACAACTGAAGTCGTCTAAAATTGTTGCTGAGCAGTAATCACTCAAACATTCATACACGGTACTTCTTTTATTGCACCAAAGATGTAACTGATGCTGATTTACATGTTTGTCTGATGAGTATGAGCAATGTCTGCACTTCAATGTTGTTGTTGTATCTATTCTAGCGCTGTCGATATTCATTCCGCCTTCTAGGAATACCTTAAAAATGCATTCTAGCGCCTCCGACGAGTCCTGTTGTTCGTCATTATGGAATATCTCAAACTTTTTTGCAAGGATACCCTTGATGGTTCCTGGATCGGAACATATTTCGGAATTATAGCAATCACGCAAATTGTTTATCAATAAATTTGCATAATGATCATGGCCCGAGCCACCTCTTTTTATCCTCAACAAAGGAAGAATTTGGAGAACAGTTATAAGATAGCAGTCGTTACGGCGGTTGATCATTCCCCTGGGAGTTTGTTGCGCATGAAAAAGAACGGCATCCGAAAAGGAATACTGTTCAGCAGGGATGCGGAGCCGTGGAAATTTCAGACGGCTCCGGCTCCGGCTCCGGCTCCGGAGAAAAAAATCGGCTCCGGCTCCGGCTCCGGCTCCGGGTGAAATGTTATGGCGGCTCCGGCTCCGGCTCCGGCTCCGAGTAAAATGGTCCGGCTCCGGCGGCTCCGGCTCCGGCGGCTCCGGCTCCGACTCAGTACATCCCCTACGCAATCAATTAAATACGGGTGGAAGAAAAATTGGATTGGTTATACGCGTTACTCTTTGCCATGACCGGCTCACCGCGTCCCCGGCCCCGCGCAAACGCACCTCGGAGCCTCGGAGAGAACTGGCAGAACAAAGGGCTAGGAAGCGATGGCATTGGAAACGCAGTCGCCGCGAATCGGAGTTCAGTGAACCATCGTAAGCTGACACCCGTCTCGGCTGCATTGGGGGGTGAGGGGTGGGGGGTGTGTGGGATGAGACGGTGCTGGGAGTCGCAGTCCACTGCACTGGTTTGAAAACAATGGCCGTCACCTGATGACTGGTCCTCATGTTCTGGGGATGCAGTAGACGTGGGGGGGGGGGGGAGAGCAAACAGGAAGTTGTTTGCGTACTGTGGGATACTGGGGCCATTCACTTGATGGCCCATGACGTAAGTACCATATGTTTTGCCTTGTACTGTCAAACCGAACTAGGTCAATTATTTTTTTTCCTCTTCAAAAAATAAAAAGGAGCCGGAGTCGCCCCCTTTTTTGGCGGCTCCGGCTCCGGCTCCGGCTCCGGGCTATATTGTTTCACGGCTCCGGCTCCGGCTCCGGCTCCGGGCAAAATATGCCGGCTCCGGCGGCTCCGGCTCCGACTCCGGCTCCGGCTCCGCATCCCTGCTGTTCAGCATTATCATTGTCATCGCCACCTGGAGACATATTAGTAGTACTCATCTCGGAAAAACGTGTGTCGTCTTCAACAGCAAACATTTCCGATGGCCGGGCCTGGGAAGTCGGTGATCCAACACTACGTCCACTTTCATTGCGCTTATCACGAAGCTCTATTTCGTTGTGCTCCTTCTCATGCCTTAAATCAATCAGTGGTGATTTGGCAGCTTCAGGCTCTTTCGGGGGTTTAGAAACGTTCTGCTTGCTTTTTATAAACGTGAGGATCGAACTCTGCTTCCACTTTGTCACTGCTGCTAGTTCCACTGAATGCCCAGATGCAATTGGCGAATCTAAATCATCTGGGTCGTTATCTGAGTCATTAACATCTACCTGTCGTTGAGATCGTAGTTGCTGTGGTTCACTTTGTTCAAATGACACCTCTTTGTCAGTTTGCGCTCGAGCCTGAACAAAATCATCAACTTCCATAGCATTATCATCTGACGCAACATCAGCATGTTCAGAGGCAGTTTCACCAATGCTCTGCGACATATGATCTTCACCTGAAGAACTATGAGCGTGTACATCACTAGAAGCGTGGACAACATCTGTACGGAGATTCGAATCTGTGTTCACTGTACTATCACCCGCAAGACCTTCATTGTTATCTGATGTCAGCACGGGGGAGCCCACGCTACGATCCTCTTGCGTAACATCATCTGACGTGGTACCTGCTTCTCTGGGCTGTTGGTCCAAATGGTAAGATGTCATAAATTTCACTTTCGATGGTTGATGCTTACGAAGGTAAGCAGGGGTTTTCTTGCCTCGTTTTTTAAGTACACCATAATGAAACTTTGACCACTCCTCTTTAATGGCATCAATTGGTAGATCATGTAATTCAAGTCCTAGCTCACGGATGTAAACTTCTTTAGCACACCTGTCCTTCTCCAGCGGTTTCAGTTCATTAAACTTGCCACCGAATCTGTTTTCCGAAAGATCCTTGACTAATTTACCTGTTCTTTCCGTATCAGACTGTGATCGACATAGCAACACTGCTATTTCCATCAATTCAATAACATCTGGAATACTGACGTGCAGCTGACTCGAGGGCCTTAGAAAATCATGTAGAATGAATCCGACCGACAATATCTTTACACCATTGTCGTCTGCATACCATTCAGCACGTAACTGAATTTGACCAGATACGCGGTTCTTAAAAACGATATACTGGTCTTCAACGCACCTGCATTCTTTTTCGTGCCGGCACATGGAACTATGTTTCCCTGGAAAACGTATGTTACTGTGAGTACAGAAGAACTTGACTACTTCGCGAAGCTCCTTATTCCTGAATTGTTTCAAAGCCAACTTGTCGTGCAAAGGAAATGTGGGAATATCGAAAATTTTCATCATTTTATCTTCAACCTCTGTAACGTCCAAAAAGGCGTCAAGTTCATCAAGAAGAGCTTGGGCTAGCTGAGCCTGCCTTTCCATAGCTCGTTTGAGGGCGTCTTTGAGTGTTGAATGGTAACTGCTACCGATTCTAGTACTCCGTTTATGAGAAGTGACTAATAAGCTCACGTTTTCGAAGTCGAATCCGTTGAACCGTCCTTTACGGAACTCTTTACCGTGTTTCCGTATCAGAGGATTGGATTTGCCGTCGCAAGCTTCTTGGAGAGCAAGACGACACGCATCTATCGCTTTACGATCATCCCACAAAGAATAAGTAGCTTTCTGTGCAGCTTTACTGACTTTCTTGACAATATCTAAGACATATAACAGCACCAGGGCGGTAGGAATGAAATCGATATCGCACAAGACATCTAGGGCTTGAAGTTTATCTGGATCGTTATCACGGCGCCCATCATTCTCTATCGTCATAACTACATTCCCATACTGTTTGATAATTGAATTAATCGCTAGTACAGTGTACTCAATAAATCTCGTGTCAACATTTCTATAGAGAACAGTAAATGTGGGATCGATCCTTCGAGCCAATCGCATAAGTTTTGATGACCGATTAATTGCCCCTACCACTTTATCAACATTTGATCTGATGAAGACTCTTGCCCACTGAAATTCGTCTTTTCTAAAAACACTGTCAGTCCATAATTCTACCTTATGGGCTCTGTCAAGCAAATGCAGAAATGCGTTGTTATTGAATCTTTCACGCCATCTTACCGCTACACCGGACTGTTGTCCTGCATAAACAGCTTCTTTATCAGAGCTCATGGAGAAGCACATTGTACCGACACTCCGAGGCGAAAGATCTAGGACTGATTTTGTCAGGACATCACATATGTGTTCTAGACAGCCAACAGCGTCCGACTCGTGCGTGACACCTTCCGCTGCGTCAGCCTCCGAAGCCCTATTTCTGATAACATCGACTGACAAGTTTGTTACCTTGGGAGCACCATCCACGTCAATAAACCTTATATTAACTACCTGTCTTGACGTTCTTTCAGCCGTGACTTTGTCAGCACTAATGTGGAAGTGTCTTAGACGTCCTGTTGTCGGATTTACAGATTTTAAAAAACTGCAATGTGACTTTCGAAGCACTTCATATATAACGTCTATTGCAGAGGCAGCAGCCTTACGACTTGTGTTCCAATCAATGTGTGAGAATGTTTCTTTTGTAGACATCATATTTGAGAACAATCTATTCATAAGTGACTCAAATGCAGCATAAGAATGCCCCAATAGCAGGTTATGATATGCAGCCATCAGCATGTCCCTTGTCAGATTATCATCTAGCCGTTTATGCTTCTCGCACTGTAAACCAAACAGGCTTTGTATTCTGTCACGCTCTTCAGGCACCTGCATGCATGCCTTATGAACAGCAGTGGCTGCATGCCTAGCGATAATTTCAAGTCTATTCTTTTTTAGCGAAACGCCTTCCGTTGTCCAACGCAGTGCTTTATGCTGGCCTCGCATGGCCGAAACAGTTGCCTTATTAGCAATGCACGTTGAACAAAATCCTAATTCCTCTGAGCCTGTACCCCGAGTGAGAAGCCATGGAAACTGTTTGGCAGTGTCAGCACTTCGTGCCTTTGCTGCTCCTGGAGAAATTTTTTTCTCAAGCTCAGTCATCTCTTTCCTGAGAGAGGCGCGCGAAACAAATTCAGAGTCGTGACTATCGATTTTCCTAGATAGCATACGAATTTCACACAGTATGTCTCGTAACATCTGGGATTCAACCAAATCGTCACCCATGACACCTGGCTGCTGAGCACCACCTTCACTTATACACTCAGCCTGCTGCAGCCGTACGGTCGGTGTCGACGTGCTCTGCGCTGTGTCCCGTTCTTGTGTGGTATCTGTCACAGTTACGGGGGGGCTCGTGCGGCCGGGATAATTATCACAGACTTGATTAATTCGATCCGGAGATGGGTGCTCGTGGTATGATGATTGAACGGAGTCTCTCTCAGTTGTCATGACATCGTTTCTCTCACTTGCGATAGTATGTATCAGTACACTAGGGGATCCCTGTCCCAACGGTGTTTCGGCATTGGCAGTAATGTCAGGCTCGTTGTCAGTGATAATGACAGTGACTGGCTCATTGTCATCGTTTTCCCTTGTAGAACGAGATTTTACAATAGCCTTCTCTATGAGATAGCCAGTAACACCACGGGGATTTTTTCTCATAGCATCTAAGTAAGCTTCTCTATGTTTCGATTTCACATGACGTGGGAAATTCTTTGTTGAAATTGACTTAGGGCATAAATGACATGTTACTGTTCCTTTAACATGTGAGCGTGTAGCGAACCGTATTCGTTCAGAAGACTTCCTACTAGCCTTACTCTTGACGACAGGTCTCGGACGTTCATCGTCATGCACCTGAAAAGAAAAAGTACTTTGTTTTACTGCAAAAGAAAGTTAACACTTACCCCTTATCCACTAATGTTTTATATACACCTAATGGGGGGGGGGGGTCAACCAACTGCGTAAAGGTTTGGTGGTGGGGGGGGGGGCAGGGCACTGCAGGGGTGGTGTCTACTCAACAACCTCTGCTCAGCGTCGAATAAGCAGAGAACCACAACAATGCCCCTTAACCCTCGCCCGCACATGGGGGGTTGCCACCCCCCCCCCCCCCAGGTAGTTTTTCTGCTCTGCACTCAACATTTTTAGAGCTAGAAGCCTGTAGCTGCTCCCCTATCCTTTCTTGATGTCCACTGAAAATTTCAAGTTTCTGTGGTTTTTGGTTTCGGAGATATGACCTTGTTCTTCAGGTCATGTCATGACCCAAATGACAAATACCCAATATCTTGCGTTGGCTATGGGTCTTGTGAGCTTTTGACACCTTGATTTCGGCCTTTTTTGCCAGTCTTACCTCCCACCTATCATGAAACATGTTGTTCGACGATGTCAGATGTCAAGGTCAGGGTCAAGGTCAACCTAGGTCATCTAAGAATATTGCGTTTTAGGCAAGCTGAATTTACTTTTGTTAAGTTTCTTTGACTGTATTTTTGGTAAAAGCTTCTCATTTCATGATCTCATGTAATATGGACACCTAAACAATCGGTGCACACATCAGTATACACACAGACACACACAGACATACAACACATATAATTGACCTTGACCTAACTTGACCTGAAATGACCTCAGCAGCAAAAACCTGGTCGGATAGTGTGACAAAGAGGTTCTAGCTGGCCTGGCACCAGAAAACAGCATCGTCATCGGTATTTGATAAGCAGCGCACTTGATATCCAACGGTGACCCAAAACAGCAACATTTTTTAGTTTGACCTGACCTGGAAGGTCAATGACTGACCTGAGAAGGTAAAACTGGGTATCATTGGATTCGTCTCTTCCCAAAGAATCTTTTTGATCTTTACCGTGAAGCTCTATCTCCAACAGGAACGAAATGGCGCGGGGGGGGGGGGGGTGGCAACCACACCCCCCCATGTGCGTTCTAGGATGGGAAAATGGCATGTGCGGGCGAGGGTTAAAGCTAGTTTTCATATCAAAATATTTAAAGGGATAGGAAGTTAGAAATTCCTCTAAAAAAAACGGGGATGAGGGTGGAAAACCGCTGGTCAGATAGGCCCAAAAAGAATGAACAAATAATTAATATTGATAACATTCATTTCTATACAAATGTGTTAATGCAGGATAAACAGCGACCATCCACGCAAATACTTTTTTCTGTTTAATTGAGAGTGCAAAATTGTTCTTAAAAACTGTAGGTGAGAGTGCAAAATAATTTTCATTTGGATGTTGCTTCCCACCCAAATCAACAAATTTTGAAACACTGTCTCAACTCAAATCTTATGTTAAGGTGGGATGGTCACTTTAAGGAGTGAGTAAGCACATGCATCAAATAAATGTTTGCAGCCCAGCTATAAAGTAGAAACACAAACCTGACACCAGCTGTCAAATGTCAACCTGCCACCAACCATCATAAAAAGCCCAATTATCATGGCATCATTACCATCACATGCAATCACTTACAACTCAATGATGATTTCACATGGGATTCTCTGCAAGGGAAAAGTGAAGTAAAATCTTATTTATGTGAGACTAAACAACTTTCAAATTTCACATAAAACTGATAAAAGCATTAAGTGCACCTCAATTTCATACCGAGTGGTGCCCAGTGGTACCTATTTCATTATCGTCTACAAAAGCAGCACCAAAAGGTAGGTACCTACTGATTTTCACAACACAAACAATGACACTTGATCCAGTAGTCTATCTGGATAAACAAAAACACCAAGAAATTGAGAACATACAATTCCGGACATCCAAAGAGGAAAAAAATTTGAGACCCACATATTTGTATTTCATTTTGCTATGGAAATGTCTAATAGCATTCATAAAAGTCAATAATGCTTATCAGAATCATGGAAACAAACTTACGTTTTGACTCATTACTGCTGATGCTGAGGTTGTTGGGCTGCCACCTTGCCCTGCATCTGTAGCCCTATAAACACAGGGTGGGTGGGAGGGCGTAAGAGCACTGGTTGTGGTCCTGAATGTTTTGGTTTGGTAAGTCTGGCATAAAGTAACACAAAGATACTAGATAGCATGGCATGGGCATCACATCACTTTTCAAATTTGTACGCAAGATTAATTATTAATTTTAGGATAGCGTCTAGCAAAGCCATTCTTGCCAATTGCCATGCACTGTCATAAGATTAATGTCAATGTTAAAATTCTGAAATTATTGTTATTGGTAGCACTGGCGCCCTACCAAGCCTATAGAAAACGATGCCCATGGATCATGATGCCGATGTCCGTTCTGTGTTCACCATTACAGACAACAAACACAAAGACATGTCAGAATTAAAAATCATGCAAATCCTAGCCTTCTCAGGTCGCGAGGTTTACATGTAAGCACATTGCACACCAACCCGAACTGGATGAGATTGCAACTTTTCGATTTCATAAATCGTAGGTACCTATATCCTACATACTGCAAGGTAAGTTAGGTACTTACAACAATGAACAAATCACTCAGCAATGATGGTCGAGCGACGCCGGCAGCAAGACAAAGAACCCTCGCTGGCGGGGGTGTCCCTCCCCCGGCGCCGGCTTGTTTGCGTCGCTTCCATGCTTCCATATCCTCGGGCTTTGGCCTCGGGCCGAGCCTCAGGCTCCCCACCCTCTGTCCTCTCCCTTTACTTGTACTCGCCTCGCTCTTTCCCTGGCGGTCGCGGGCTCATGCCCTGATACAAGCTAGATGCGGCTGCTAAATTAAGGACTTCATTTGGAGAGGCGCAAAAATATTTGAAGATCCCATCTCAGTATACGTTTTCTCATCAACCATGCATACAATGACATCAAAACGCCGTGTGCTAAATCTACAAAGAATTTGCTTTGAATTTCAGTAAAAAAAATAAAAAAAACTAATTTCGTTTTCAAAATTTTTTTGGAGTTTGAATAAGTTGTGACCGTGAAAAAATAGATATTTTAAAACCGAAAATTTTGCTACAATTTCTTTTTCAAAGGGTATAAAATGCCAAAGATGATTAGTTAGGGCTTTGAAGATTTGATTTTTGACAATTTTGTTACATGTTACTGTCTAAACATTCATAATTTGTTGAATAAGATGAACTCTCAAAATTGCTCGGTTTTAGGCTCCGACCCCAAGAACGTCAATTTTGCCAACTAGGCGAAATCTCACCAAGGCATTTACGACGCAGATCTTAGGTATTTGTCTCGAAAGTTTTGTGGACGCGTGGTAATGGTAATTTTATAGTGTGTGGTAGGCTCCGTCTAATGCTAGTGATTGCAAGTTTTTACTTTTGGTAAGTTTTGATGGTTGCTAATGCTTATTCTTGTTTTAACCTACTAATTCAGTGGCTGGTACTACTGGTGATTTTATCTAACTTAGATATCGTCTGCCATTGCTCATTTGTGATTCAGATTGAGGTTCCTACCTACCAATTATAATTCATGGATTATTTGGCTGGTACCTACGCCATACTGAGTGATTACTTTTATGACCATTTAAAACCTCTTTATTCATGCAACGTAGCTTCCAGTTATGAATATATTTGTATTTGATTTCAATTAACATTTCACAAGTCAGAGTCACCAGTCACCACTCATTACAATGCATTCACACTTCAGCATCATACCGCTCAAAAAATGAAATATCAAGGAACGGTAAATCCTATTACTCTTCATATCGGTGCTAAGGCTTCTTTTCTTTGTTCTTTATATTAGGTATTACTGCTGTTTTCATTGGTGATGTCTTGTAGATTTCCTGAAAAGTGAGAACAAAATAATCATTATTTTCCAGTAATGAGTACTGAGTACAAAATTTCTCAGTGTCTGGAGACACCAATCAGCGGCAACTTTGCCAACCCTGGTTGTTGTAGTATTGCATTTTTCTTATGTACAGTTCTAGGTTTTGTTAGGGTATGTCAATTTCAATTTGTCAGTTGATTGAGCTATAGGTGGATTGCGGACAAAATTTAGAATCATTGCATGGTAGATACTAGATAGGTACTTGTTCGGTAAAAAGGTGTGTGATGACTGATGAATGCCACGAGAAGGTTCTTTTATGATTTAATATATGGTCATTTACAAGCTTACTAGCACCTAATTATTGAATCAAATCAAAAGTATTTGTTATGAATGTAAATATGTACCTGCAAAATATGTCAATAAATTTGTGTGATGTTGACCAGAGAGCTGTATCATCTGGGTATTTATGTTGCTTCTTACATTAGGTATTAAGCATAGTAATTATGGATGAACTTTGTGCCAATATCTTCAATGCACAGTGTATGTAGCATGTCTACAATCCTCACTGAACCTGCTATAGCTATAGGCATTTGGCACCAGCAAGACCAAGGGCATGAACTTCACAGTTGCACAACCCTTTGTCATGTACCACCAGTCACTTTTTTCCCTTAAAACGCAGTTCACACTTGACCGTCAGTCTGTCGGTGTCGGGCCCGTCACCGTCGACCTGACGGCCGGCAGCCCGTCGAACGAAAGTTGAGATTTGGTAGCTCCCATTGGCTGCCATATATTGTGACAGAAATGGCGCACCATTTTCGAGATTGACGCAGATGGGGGAAGGGGATGGGGAGGCCGAGAGGTTAAAATATTATTTGAATTACAGAAATAAAATACCACGCATTTACATTTTTATGTCAAATATTGCTGAAATTTTATTTAAATGAAAGACACATAGGTTCGCTGATTTAAATCAGGGATCGAATCTCAAGATATCGTGCCGTAATAAACACTTTCATCTAAAAAATGGATGGAAATTGGTATTAATACTCTTAAAAATGCATATAAGCTTAATGCTGCATGAGAACGTTCCTTTTCCTCTTCCTCCAACACGCAGATATTCAAACCGACGGGCCCGTCACCGTCAAAAGTTGAACATTGCTGAACTTTCCAAAGCGACGGCCGTCAGGTCCGGCGCCGGCGCAGTCAGCTGTTGCCGACCGTCAAACGCTGCCGGTTCACACATGCCCGTCGACCTGACGGCCGTCGCTCCGTCAGATTCGGCCGTTTTGACGGTGTCGGGCCCGTCACCGGCAGACCTTACGGGCAAGTGTGAACTGCGTTTAAGGTGCACATGGCAGTGTACACAATAGGTACCTAATGCGCAGAGGGCCTACGCAAAAACAACAAAACAAAAACAACAAAAACAATTATGGTAATATTCCAATAAGTTGGACACCTCCCTGGGCGTAATTTTCCAGGAAGATACCTCTGGAGGTGTTGTGGTAGCTTAGGTTGAATTGGGTTAAGTGTGAAGTAAGGCGGTTAGGACCAGGTCAGACCGTAAGGCCTGGTCAGGTTGATTTTAATTTAATCTTTCATTCTAATTTGACATAGATACCTATTACCTATGTTTTTGCTCCAGACTGAACTTCATTAGGTATTGAGTTCATTTTGTTTTGTTTTTTATCTGTCTTGTTTTGTGTTTTTGTCCCTTATGTTTTGCCCCATATGCAAGGGTGGAGCTTTTCCAGGGAAGGTGGTGGGGCAAAAAGCCGTCAAACCTGCAATGCTCGGTTGTTAAGTTAGATTATGTGCAACACTGAATCAATTCTTTTAATTACAGAACTAACATTTTGCATTACACAGACATTTCAAAGCTCCTCAATGCGAACAACATAGTGGTTTGCTAAGCAACGAAGTTCTACAAATCAGCAAAAGTTGGAGGGGCAGAACGCTATTTTTTCTCGTGACAGCTTCGTAACATGTTACGAAGGCACCAAAACTACTTCAGTACAGGGTGTAACGAAATTATCCGGGCATCTATTTTTCGCCATATCTGTTTCTGCAGTTTCCTAATCCTTTCTGATGTTAGAAGTGGGAATATTGGATGAATACATGACTCTGCTATTGGTTTTTCAACTCAGCAGTGACCTGACCTTGTCATGTGACTGTTGCTCTGAGTAGGAGTCGATTCACAGACGGGTTCACATGGTAGATTTCGTCCAAGGCAGTTGCGAGAAAGGGATACAATCTCTCCTTTCGTGGTAAAATTGCATGGCGGCATCCACGGCGTCATGAGCCAGGAGCTGGTCTGGCAGCAGCTGGACATCAGCAGCAGCCAATTGCACATCTGCCTGAGGCGTAATAAGCTGGGACTTCGATGGCAGACTCCAGTAGCGGCGGAACGCCTTCAATTAAAGGGGGGGGGGCACTGCCGACTTTTGGTCCCATTCTTTCCATGCAACGCCCATAGGGCTAATGTTAAAATGCCAAAATCAAAGGGGGGCACGGTGCCCCGGTGCCCTCCCCGTTCCGCCGCCTATGGCAGACTCAGCCCGGTCGCGACCACAAAAGCCGCCCTTTGTCAAGTGGTGAGGAGAGTCATCAAGATAGCGGCAAGAAAACGGCACCAATCAATCCGCATATTGACTCGAATTCTTACCAAGTCAGATAATAGGAGATCCCATATCATGGTTTACTGCTACCCGCCCTCTAACTTGGTTCTAGTGCCCTTCAAACTGAAAAAAAATACAACGAAACTGACGGGAAAATAACCAGTTCACCACCTTTCGCCTCACGCCAGATCGCGTCCAAGTGGTTGAAGAAAGATAAGGGTGAGGTGGTCTGGTTGGATGGGTAGCCGTTCGAGCTGTATTATCCTTTGAACCGTCAAATCGGCCATGTATGGGCGGCCAGCCGCTCGAACTTGCTGGCCTTCGCCGCCGTCAAACATCCGGACAATATTCAGAATTGGAGCATGATCAGCTGCCTAGCGATGCTCCAATAGGACATGGTGTCATAAAATACCGCCACCAACGTCAAGTATTACCGGAGCCACATACTGGCCAATGAATAGTTGGAGACGCTCAACCAGACGGTATAGGAGGACTCGGCTTCTGAAGTCTGAACGCGCGCTGGTGCCTGATTCAAGCCACGCTGTCTTCATGCGGGGCGGCGCGCTACTTAAAAGTCCCTAAAAGAACGGGAAGTGATGCCGATAGAACCTTCAATCATCCTGGGCTAACGCTTATGACTTGGAAAAAGTCGCGATCCCAATTCAATCGAAAACCTGTGGGCTCTTGTTCAGCAGGTGACTGAAGAGACGCCCGTCACAAGCACCGCCCAACCGCAGGCACAGGTTTAGAGGGCGTTGGTCCGCATCAAAGCTAATGTGCTGGAGAATCCAGTGGCTGAAATGCTCCAGAACATTCGCCACTGTGTTTTTATGAAAGGTGGCTACATGCTCAGTTAAAAGAAAAAGTACCAGAATGTTTTGCTTTTTAATTACAGCGGGAAGAAAGGTGTCCGGATAATTTCGTTACACCCCCTGTAATGTTCAAATGGTTGCTAAATTCGAAATCAGCTCCAAAAACTAGCCTAGAAACATGTAAAACTCGAAAAAGTGAGCCGAGGTCATCAAAGGTCATTGAGCTGACCTGACCTTCAGGTGACCTTGATACCCACCCTAATGCATGGGACCAGCATCATATCACATGTTTCAACGCTTGAAACCACGTAAAGACTGCAAACGCGCGGCTAATGCGAGCCGACATACGCCGAATCGCGATTCGGGCCAAACATGGTCTCGAGAAATAGGTCACAGGTCAAAGGTGATTTGGGTCAGGGTCATGAAATTTTCAGGGTAGATGTAAAATCGATAAAATTAGGGGTATTGAAAGTTTCGTCGCGATCGGACTGTTTTTACGCGAGTTACTCACGAAAAACCGATGGGGTCCGTTCAACTCCTCCCCCTATACGAGCGAGGGAAAAGCGCAACCAAAAGGCAAAAATATGCACATGCAATAACCTATACTGCGAAAAAAGGTGCATCATTTTTTAACGTCGCCGACAAATTGCAATTACCCCAAGCTCAGGCAGATGTATGGTAGAAAATACCCCAAATGAAATACACTACGGCGGAAATAAAATACCCTACGGCGGAGCTCGGTTGCAATTTGTAAATACGCCAGGCCGCAACTCGTTGTCCAGACGTAAATATGCGTGTCCGTGTATAAAACATGCGTTGAATTGCATGCGTTCTCAAAAACTATTTATAATATTTAAAGAGCCTAATATATTTTGTGGCATGTAGAATATGTTCGCAAAATCAAACTTGTCAGAAAGAGACGCAGTAAAAGTACTTGTGTGTGAATAACAAATTCAATCTTGTATGGAT